TTCAATGGAATCAATTGGCATGGCGCCACCACGCATCGAAAGGGCTCGGCCCAAACGATATCATACGTCCTGTAAGGGCTCTCAAAAGGGCCTCTTGGAACTCTGTGGGAGGGACTCAGAAGCCTTCGGGGGGGTCTCCAAGCGCTCGAACCCCGCCTGCCCACGAGCCCCGGTTACCCAAACATCTACGAAACATCTACGAAACATCTGCGAAACATCTACGAAACATTTACGATTCATCTACGAAACATCTACGCACACAATAACATCTACGAAACATCTACGGAACATCTACGAAGCATCTACGGTGCATTTCCGGGGGGTCGAAAACGACGCGGTCGCATCTGCTGAAACCGTGGTCGCGCGAGCCCGATTCCGTTCACGGGCCGAACTTCGCCTGAAATGCTGTAAATTACAATACATAAGCGATGTGGTCGCGCGAGCCCGAATCCGCACGCGGGGCGAACCTCGCCGGCAAAACATCTACAAACATCTACGAAACATCTACGCCCACCAAAACATCTACGAAACATCTACGAAACATCTACGAAACATCAACGCACGCAAAAACATGTACGAAACATCTACGAAACATCTACGAAACATCTCGGCCCCGTTCCCGCGGGTAAGCCACGTCCCATGGGCTCGTCGCCATGGCTGGATTCCTGAGAGCGACTACGGGTCGGCGCTGGCGGTCCGTGATCGCCGGCACTGAGGGCTTGGAGCCGCGCGCGGGGCGGGCGGGGTCGATGTGGGGCGCTAATCAATTGGCATGGCTTTGTGCGCGGTGTTTCCGCGGGGGGCAGGTTGACGTCGCGGGCATCGCAGCGCTGGCCGCTGCGTCGGGCGATTCTTCCATGAGCGGGCCGAGCGCAGCATTCGAAGCAAGACACAACTCAAGAAAGGCATCATACTGGGCAGAGTGTCCTGGAGTGCGTCCGAGCGTCGGCCAGGGCCCCCTGGGCTGGTTTTGGGGCGGTCGTTTCGATCATTCTTTGGACAGTCCTCCCCAGGCCATAAGTCGCGGCCTCTACATTCATCCCACTGCGTGTACATCCACACGCCCATGTATGCGCACAGGGATGCACCCAGTTATCACTACATCCACTGAACCATGCATCCATACATCCAGGGGTCCTACAAACATACATCCAGACAGTCCTGCATCCAGAGTTCCATACACAGCGCATGCTCGTACATCCAGCGATGCGCACATGCAAATATCCACGCACAAAGGCATATATCAGTACATCAAGTTTTCCTTCCAGACGTGTAGACACCAAGGCTCGGGAACATCCGCAATCCAGACCGTCCATACCTCCACAGGCCCATATATCCACAGATGCGTTCATCCAAAGATCCATACATCCAGACATCCATATACAAGCAATCGTACATCCAGGGACCTCCAAAAGCACATACAATCATACATCCAGGGGTTCGCACATCCAAAGATATATACATCCCATGTCCGCGTACAGGGATGCACCCAGTTATCATTACATCCACTGACCCTTGCATCCATACATCCAGGGGTCCGTACAAACATACATCCAGGCAACCAATCACACATGCTTGCGTACACAAAACACGTTCGTGCATCCAGCGATGCGTTCTAGCACATCCATTCGCAAACAGCACACGTCAATTCACACAGTGTTCTTTCCAGGCACACGCGCATACATCAAGGCGCTGAAGGCTCCTACATCCATGCGCCCATGCCTCCACCGGCCCATGCACCCCCAGATGCATACATCCAGGGACCCATGCATCCATGTATCCATACACTCATACATTCTTGCATCCATGGACGTACTATACACAATCATACATCCACGGGCTCACACATCCACAGAGACATACATCCAACTGCGTGCACATCCACAAATCCGTGTATGCGAACAGAGGTGCACCCAGCTACCATTACATCCACACACTCATGCATCCACGCATCCAGGGGCCCGTACACATACATCCAGGCAGCCATGCGCCTAGAGTTGGATCGATAAAGCATCTTCGTACATCTAACGGTACGTACATGAAAAAATGTGTGCGCAAACCATACACATCAATACATGAAGTTTGATTTCCATACGTACGTGCAGACATCAAGACATGGAAGGATCCATGCATCCTCGCGTCCATGTTGCCCATCCGTCAGGATCCCTCAGGGTTCGTCACGCTTCCTCAGGATTCTGAGAAGTCCGGGGGATTCTTCAGGGTTCCCCAGGGCCCTTCAGGGGTCCCTTGGTCTTCTCAGGAGTCCTCAGGATTCCTTCGGATTCCTCAGGGTCGTCAGAGTTCCTCGAGATTCTGCAGGGTTCCTCTGGGTTCCTTAGGTTCCCTCAGGGTTCCGCAGGGTTCCTCAGGATCCTTCGTGGTTCCTTAGGATTCCGTCGGATTCCTCAGTGTTCCTGAGGATTCTTCAGGATTCCTTCAAAGACATGCATCTGCGTGCACATCCACAAGCCCATGCATGCGCACATATATGCACCCGTTTAACATTCTCTCAGATTCATGCATCCATGCATCCAGGGGTCCGTACAGACGTGCTTCCAGGCAGCCATACATCCATACTTGCATAAACGAAGCATGTTCGTACTCCCAGCGATGTGTACAAGCAAATATCCACTCGCACAAGTCATATATCAGTACACCAGTTTTTCCTTCCAGACACTTGCAGGCGTCAAGGCTCGTACTGTAATCATGCATCCAGGTGTTCGCACATCCACAGAGGAGTACATCCTATTGTGTGTGCGTCCACAAACCCGTGTATGCGCATAGGGATGCACCCAGCTACCACCATCTCCGCAGACACATGCATGCATACCGTACAAAAACAGCAGGACAAACCATCACCAATACACGTATACATATGACATGTGCGTACATCCGGCGATCCGTACACGACAAAGACGCATCCAGGGGAAACCCCGAGGGGCCTGTAGGATCCGTCAGGATCTATCAGGATCTTGGAGGATCTCTCAGGAAACCGCAGGATCCCGCAGGGACCAGGAACAACCTATGAGGATTCCTCGGGATCATGGAGGATTCTTGAGGGCTCGTCAGCATCTTACAGGATCCTCCAGGAGCCCTCAGGATCTTGAAGGAGTCCCCAGCTTCCCTCAGGATCCTTGAGGAGCCCTCAAGATGTTGTAGGATCCTGCAGAATCTTTCAGAAGTCCGCAGGATCCCCCAGTATCCGTGAGGAGTCCTCAAGACCCCTCGGGATCCCTCAGGATCTTTGAGCATGACCCAGGACCCCCGCGGGATCCTTGAGGATTCCTCAGGACTCGCAGGATATGTGGGGAGTCCTCATGACCTCTCAGGACCCTTCAGGATCCCTCAGGATGCGGGAGGACTCCTCAGGATCCTTCAGGATCCTAAAGGAATCCTCAGCATTCCGCAGGATCATGGAGGAGTTCTCACAGTCCCTCGCGGTCCCTCAGGATGCCTGAAGAGTCCCCAGAATCCCTTGAGCAGCGCTCGGAATCCTTGAGGAACCCTCATCATCCCTTCTCAGGATCCTGGATGCCGCCTCAGGGGTCCTTGCATGGTTGGTCGGGGCAGGATTGAGTGCGTAATAGCAAGGAGCGCTCGCTCCTCTCTCTTTCTCTTTCTCTCTTTCTCTTTTCCCGAGGCTACCGCGACGCCAGAGTGTCGATGTCGGTGTCGGGAGGGGGGTCGCGGCCCCAAGGGTCGGCAGTCCAGGGATTCGCCCACAGGGGGAAGTGGTGAATTAGCGCACGGTGAGCCGGGCTCGCAGTCAGAGTGTTGAACATGTTGTTGTTTCTGCTGTGTTGCTGCTGTGTTGCTGTTGAGTTGTAGTGCGTGAAAAATATTGTTGATTCCCTTCCTCTGGTGCACATGATGTTCTTTCGATTGAAGTGCCTTTCCCAGGGCTCGCACCTGGTTTTTTGTACACAAGAATTCTTGAGCGTCAGACTGTGTCGTTGGCCCCCGGACTAAACAACAACGGCTCTCGCCTTTTACGTTCCCACAATTTATTCGGAATCGCTCTCTCGCGCGGGACTTCCTCACAACTTATGCAGGACTCGCGATCTCGCGCAGGACTTCTTAGTAATTTGTTGAGACGCCGCGCCTTCGACACTCAGTCATCACGCTCTCGTTATGGACCTCCCCACGATTTACTTGGGAATCGTGTTGTCGCTCGAGATTACCTCGCGATTCATATTGGACTGTCGCCAGTACGTCTGCCGCGACACATTAAGCAAGAGTTTCTGACCGAAGGTCAGATGTGGCGCGAGCGCATCCAGCTTGTCCTTTCCCCCCCCCTCTCCCCCCTCCTTTTCCCGCCCCTCTACCTCTGCATGCCCCCTCCTTCTCCCAGCTCCCGCTCCTCCCCTTCCTCCTTTTCCTCCTCCTTCTCCTCCTCTTCGCCTCCGTCTCCCTGTGATCCCATTTCCTTCGTGCCCTGTTCCCCTTGCTCCCCCTCTTCTTGTTCCTCCTCTGCCTCTTCTCCTCCTCCTTCTCCTCCCCCAGCTCGTCTCCCTGCCCCCCTCCTTCTGGCTCGCTCTCCCTTTGCCTCCTCCTCCCCCTCCCCCGCTCCTCCTCCTTTGCTTCTTCTGACGCTGACGACGACGACGACGACGACTGCAAGGAGGAGGAGGACGTCGACCAGAACGACGACGACGGCGACGACGACCAGGACGACGACGACGACGACCGACGACGACGACGACCGACGACGACGACGGTCGACGACGACGGCCACGATGACGGTCGACGACGACGGCCACGACGACGGTCACGGCGGAGTCACGACGACGACGGTGCTCCAGGCTCATGGCTCGGCCTGGTCCTCTCCCGTGCACACCCCCAGGAGCTCTGCCTCGCCGAGCCGCGGTGCCCCGTCTGGCAGTTCGAGAACCAGACGTCCCCAGGCCCGGCAGCTAGGGTTCCTCCAGGCTTTCGGCCGCTGTGTCACAGCGACTTCCGGTGGGCTTTGCGGAGGCTTCTGGAAGTGCTAGGGGAGGAGGATGTGCTCGCCCTTCCTCTTCTTCCTCGTGCTCGAGTCGCTGCAGTGCCTCCCGAGAGGCCCGTGCGGCCTGGACATACGATTCAGGAAAAGCCAGTTTTTGGCAAAGTCGGGCTCCTGCTCTTGTCGTGCTGACTCTGGCTCCGTGGCGTCTTGACAGAAAGGAAGGGGAGGAGGATGTGCCCCCAGCTGCCGTGGCACGAGCCCCTCGACGTGAGAGTTCGAGCTCGAAACTAGTTCTGGGGCGTGGCCCTAAAAGTGCGATGGGAACAACATAACCCTCGGGTTTTGGAGGGAGGAGGGGGAGTGGACACACCATCACGATGACAAGTTCGGCAACTCGATCGAGGAATCGGCAAGCTGTTTCGAACGCCGTGTCAATGAAGCGTCCAGCGAGACAGACGAGCTCTCATGCGAGCCATGGCGCACGTAGAAAAAACACGCCTTGGAGCTCTTGGAGGGCCACCTGGGCAACAGTGCAACAAAAAGCGTCCAGCGACATAGACGAGCTCTCAGGCGAGCCATGGCGCACGTAGGAAAAAAAACATGTCTTGGAGCTCTTGGAGGGCCACCTGGGCAATCTCGAGGCGTGCGTCCAGCGCCGTCCCGGAGACACGCTGGCGCGCGATCCCGGGCACTCTCTCGTGCCCTGGGGTCGCTCCTCGAGGCTCTCCTGGGCCGTCCCAGGTGCCTCCAGCGCCCTCCGGGAGGCACGCTGGCGCGCGATCCCTGGGCGCCCTCTCGTGCCCCGGGGGCTGCTCCTGCGCGCGGCCGCGGGGCGCCCACAGGCCAGTGCTGGGCGGGCTACGGCAAGAGCTGCGTCGGTCGCGGCGGCAGGACGCCGCCGGGCGGCCCGCGCGCGCGCGCGCGGGCGCGCGGGGCCCAGACCCCCTCGAGTTATGAAAAAATCACGACGGGAGGTTTTTCGCTATTTTTGGCCTCTGGGGGCCCTTACCGGCCCTCGGGACCGTCAAAAAACGACTCAGGACGAAGAACCGGACCCGGGGAAAGGGTCCAGACCGCTGGGGGTCGACGTCATGAAAAATTCATGACGTCGGGGATCTGGGGGCACTCTGCGAGCGGCGGCGGGGGAGGGCGGGTGGGGCTGGTCGGGGGCTGCGTCGGTGCGATCGACGACGTGGACGAAGGGGGCGTGGACCAGCGGCGGGTCCCCGTTTCCGCGGGAGATCTCGCGGACCTCAGCCGCCGAGCGGGGCGGCGCTGGCCGCACTCTTGGGGAGGGCGCCTCCCCCGATCCGCGGATGCGGCCACCGCGCGCCAGATCCATGGGATCGCCAGTCCATGTCTGCGCGCCCCCGAGGGTGGCATCGGTGCGATCGACGTGGGTAACTACGGAAAGAACGGGGACTCCCGATGGCGTGACACGAGCTGGGCGTCGCTCGGACGTGTGCATTTTTTCTCGGCGTGGACCACTGAGGAGCATTTTTGATCATGTGGCGAAACATGCACGCACGAAATCGGAAAATGCACGGGGAATGGACGTCCGAGCGATGGCGTACGAGGGCGGGGGCCACGGCCCTCCCATGGCGAGAGGCTCTTCAGCCCCCCCTCCCCCCGGGGCCAGCCACGAGAGGGCGGCCCTCTGCCCAGACCCCCCCCCCCTGGAACCCGCCGGGACAGCTCGAGTCAGACCCCCCCCCAATGTGACCCCCCCCCCCCACCCCACTTCACTTTCCTCAGGAGGGGAAGAAGCACACAGACAGAATTCATCGTTGACTCTCAGGAAAATAGGGGAAAATATATGGGAAGTGGGGGGGGAAGGCAAAAACCTAGAAAGTATGGGAGACTATGGGGAATCCTGCCATTCGTGTGCACTTCTCTGTGTGTCCCAGGGCCCCTTCCTTTACCACGGCAGGCAGAGTGCGAAGGCCGGCAGCCTGTCCTGCTCCTCCTGCACAAGGGGCCCTGCGTCGGTGCCGCCGCGGGCGCGGTCCGCCCGAGGCGGCAGGCGCGGCCCAGCCTGCCCCCGCGGCGGCCGCCCCTCCGGTTCCGGAGAGCACTCTGCCTGTGGGGCCTCGTACCGGCGTGCTCCGCGCCCCTCCTCTTTCGGGGCCCGCACACATCTGCACCACCACCCCACCACCACCACCACCACCACCACCACCACCACCACCACCACCACCACCACCACCACCACCACCACCACCACCACCACCACCACCACCACCACCACCACCACCACCACCACCACCACCACCACCACCACCACCACCACCACCACCACCACCACCACCACCACCACCACCACCACCCACCACCACCCGTGCCTTCTCCCAGGACGGGGTCGAGGAAGGAGAGGGCAGAGGAGGGAGGAGGAATCGACGTGGTGATTGTGGCGGTGTATACTCTTGGGGCCCGCACTCTTGGAGCGGCGCGCCGAGTCGGGACGATGGGCAGACCGGGGCTCTCGAGGAGCAGAAGATGGCAGAGCCACACGAGCTGTGGGAGGTCCGTGCCGAGTTCTCGGATCGGCGCTGGGGGGCCAGATGCGCCGCCAGGTGGCTCCAGCGCCGATCCAAGAAATCCGCGCTGGCCTTCAGCAAGTTCACGTTTACGCCACTGTTTGCTTCAAGAGCGATTGGAAAAAAGGCGAGGACGTACAATCGCACACACAGAGAATGCACTGCATGCTATCGCCCAGCAGATGCATCACAGTAACATGCAGCACATTCCTCTGACAGGTAAGGCCTGGCCAGCCCACCAGGAGAGGCGGATGAGGGGCAGTGGCCTGGGGCGGATGGGAAGGAGGGGGTGATGAGGATTATGGAGGAGGAACACTAGGACGACGACCAGAGCAAGCCCAAGATGTATCAGCGATGCTGCAAGACACCCCCTGTCCCAGGTGCCCTCCTCATGAGTCCCTGCGAGCATTCTTCGTCACTGCGCGAAGCGCTCCCCTTGACAGGTGAGCGCCTCATGGGCCCGCAGTTCCGGCGGGAGCTCCGTTTTGAAAGAAGCCGTCGCCCATCCATCGAGGTGGAAGAAACTCGACGATGTGAAGGAAGTGCCCAGCGGCAGACCAGGCCCGCTTTGAGATGAACCGCCCTCAATCCGTTTAGCTGTTGCGCATCGTTTGACTTTTCTGCTCAGGCAATCTGGCGTGAAGTCGGGCCTGTCCCTCTACAGGAGGAACGTTCCCAAACAGTCCAAAAATAGTCCCGGGACGACGTTTCTACAATTTTTGACCATTTTGGGGTATTGTTTGAGACGTCGCGGCGTGCCGGGTGTCCGGGGCCTCCTCGGGATGGCCGCCTCCCCGTTTGGGTCCCATCCTTTGCTCTCTCTCTGCGCAAGGGCGCCCCCCTCGGCGGCGGGGGCGGCCGATAGCTGGTCGTCGGCGCTGCCGCCGCCAGGCCCAGCACCATCACCGTCCAGGGGGCGCAGCGCATCATGCACGGGGAGGCGATCGGGGGTAGCGACAGTCGGCCCCACGCGCAGACCCCCTCGAGTTATATGAAAAAATCACGACGCGAGGTTTTTCCCTGTTTTCGGCCTCAGGGGGCCTTCGCCGGCCCTCGGGAGCGCCAAAAAACGACTCGGGATGAAGCAACGGGGCCCAGGGAAGGGGTCCAGACCGCTGGGGGTCGACGTCATGACAAAAATCATGACGTCGGTCAGCCACGTGCACAGTGGGGTGGGGGGAGGGAGAAGGGCTTCTTGGAGGCACCCCTGCTTCTCAGGGGGTGCGGGCCTTCGCTATAGGTGTAAGGCCGGCGCCTTCTAATGAGCAGCCTCCTTCCAAGAAGCCCTCCCGCCTCCCCCTCCCCCCCTGTGCGCGCCGTCAAGATGGGGGGGACAGGCACATGGGCGGGAGGCATCGGCCCCCAGTCGCCCATGGATCGCCAGTAGGGGTGCGATAGCCCCAGCCCGCCTGGGAAGGTTCGGATTCATGATCGGGGGCCCATCGCCGATCTGTCGGCGATGTATCGCCGATTCCAGGTCGATGCATCCCCCCCTATGCCAGTCCCCCCGCTTTCGTTGCCCCCCAGGTGAGGGTGCTGCAGAACATGTCAGGCCGGTCAGCCGACACCAGCGGGGGCGGGGGCCGTGGTCCATTGTGGGAGGGGCCGGAGGAGGAGGAGGAGAAGGAGGAGGAGGAGGAGGAGGAGGAGGACGAGGGGACTCGGATGCGGCTGCGCCAAGGATCCAGACCCCCTCGAGTTACGAAAAATCGCGACGGAAGATTTTGCACTATTTTCGGCTTCTGGTGGCCCTTCCCGGCCCTCGGGGCCGTCAACAAGCGGCTCAGGATGAAAAGCCGGTCACGGGGAAGGGGTCGAGACCTCTGGGGGTCGACGTTATGACAACATCATGACGTCGGGGGTCTAGGGAGCGCGCACGAGTTCTGGCAAACTGGAGGTCTGGGCCCTTGCTCGGCCACGCGCAGAGGGGGGGTATGGGGGAGGGGGGACGGCTTCTTTAAAGGAGGGGTGCTTCTCAGAAGCCTTCCCTCCTCCCCCCTAGCCACTCTGCGCGCCGCCAACTTACGGATCCTACAATCCCTTGAGCACTCACATCAGTGTGGGCTTTGTGGCGCTCCACCACGCGCTGAAGGCACGGTGGCGGCCTTCTGCTCGGGCGACCAGATCATGTTCTAGACGCTCCGCGTAACCCCACCAGCCCATCCAGAAACGATGCCCAGGCGAGTTGCCCTGATCAAGGATGTGGAGGAGCATGCAATGGAATGAAGGAAGGGCTGGGGAAGCTGTCATATCCCAAGAGGGGGAGGATGTAGGAGGAATCGGAGGGTGAGGAGGAGGAGGAGGAGGCGGAGGCGGAGGAGGAGGAGGCGCAGGAGGAGAATGAAGAGGCGGAGGAGGAGGAGGAGGGCGAGCAGAAAGGCCAGAGGCCTCTTGGATGCCTCTCGGTGTCTCTTCGGATGTCTCTTGATAGCTTCTTGGAGGACTCTTGGTGCTTCTTGGGGGCCTCTGGGCGGTCGCGGGGGCCTCTTGGAGCCTCTTGGTTACCTCGGGGTAGCTCCTTGGGGCCTCTTGGGGGTCTCTTGGAGCCTGTTGGGGACCTCTTGGGGCCTCTGGGGATTTTGGGGCCCCATCTTGGAGGCGACGGATCAAAGAGGGGGGGGGTCCTTGATCAGGTTCCCCCTCCTTCAGGAGGCCAAAAACTTGGCCCAACACCTAGGTAAAAACATGGATGTGCGCCTTCTCGTCGATGCTGTCTTGGACGCTCTAATGGGTCGAGAATCCCCTCTCCAGACCCAGGTGTGCGGGGTAGGGGGAGGGGTTGACCCCTCTCCGAAAGGGAATAAGTAGTGGTGGTGGTGGAAGAGGAAGCGCTCTGAACCACGCCCTAAAAAGCTGGTGGGATTACACGGGCGGTGCTATAGTTTTGACCGTAACATGTCATCCGCCGAGACCCCCTGCCCCCTGCAGAATCTTAGCGAAAGGTTTCTGGTCCGGCTGCGGTTCCGAGCCCAGGGGCCCGTTCCCTGGAATAATGTAATATATATATACATATATTATTTGTTTTTTTTTATATATATATATATATATATGAATAAAAATAACAGGGTGATAGTCACTCCGCCGTTCTGGCCCGACTTACACCCTATTCACTCAGTGTGATCGTCACAGTCGGCTGCTTCATCATCTGCGTCATCGTCGTCGTCATGCCCGCAATGCTGTGTTGATTCAGTGTGTTCTTTTGCACGTTGAGGCCGAGCGGCCCTGGACAGCCTTATCCAACGGAGTCGCTCTTGCTTCGGCTGCAGCTTCCCCAGAACTTTCACGAGGGCTTCCAGATTGCAGATGGGGTCACGTTTGCGTCTTGAACCGGTCTTCGGCGCATGCGGCGCCTTCTGATTTTTGCAAGCCGACGGTCAAAAAATTTAGTACCTGGCATGTACGGGGGATCCAGCAAGCGTCCCCCCCCCCCGAACGCGGAGATCACCGAACTACGATGCTACGACTGCTACATCATTAACCGAGAATGGTCTTTAGTTTTGGGTCCCCCCCCGCTTCTGTCGGTGGGGAACAAAATCGACTCTCCTCCTCCTCCTCCTGTTCCTCCTGCTCCTCCTCCTCCTCCAATTCCCCCCCCTCTCCTTCTCCTCCTCCTCCTCCTCCTGATCCTCCTCCTCCTCCTTCTCCTTCTCCTCGTCCTTCTTCTCCTCCTCGTGGTCGTTATCGTAGTCTTTGTCCTCCTGAGATTATGCGACCGAGCGAATGCGAAGCGCCCAGGAGGGGTGCGGCGCCCCGCTGGCAAGCGGACACTTGAAAAGCTGTTCCCGCTTCGTCGTCGTCGTCGTCGTCGTCGTCGTCGTCATGTCGTCGTCGTCGTCGTCGTCGTCGTCGTCATTGCTTCCGGGGCCGCCAGGCCGCAGCCAGCGTTCCAGACGAGAAAGTCTTGACGCTTTTTTGTTGCTCGTTTCGACGGCGAGCCCGGGGGGAAAGGTGAGAAGGAGAGACCCTCTCAGGAGGCTCGGAAGTATCCCGGCCTTTCTAACACGTTTTCTGAGCCTTCCGCGGAGACATGAAAACCACTCAGAAGACGCGAGACAATGATTGAAGATGGTGATGATGACGATGACGATTACGATGACGATGATGATGACGATGCTGATGCTGATGATGCTGATGATGATGATGATGATGATGATGACGATGACGATGATGATGATGATGACGATGATGATGAGGATGATGATGATGATGATCATGATGTTGATGATGTTGATGATGATGACGATGATGATGACGATGACGGCGACGATGATGATGCTGATGACGATCATGATGACGACGACGACGATGACGACGATGACGATGACGATGACGATGATGATGACGACGATTACGATGATGATTCTGATGATGATGATGCCGACGATGACGATGATGACGACGATGACGATGACGATGACGATGATGATGTTGATGATGACGACGATGACGATGACGATGCTGATGCTGCTGCTGATGATGATGATGATGGTGATGATGATGATGCTGATGATGATGCTGCTGATGATGATTTTGATGATTTCGATGATGATGATGATGATGATGATGATGATGATGATGATGATGATGATGATGACGAGAAACGGGTCCAAGGGAAAGGCTCGGGACTTCCCGGGACGCCGTCCTGAAAAAATCACGACGTCGCATGTTTGGGTACGCACCCGCCTGATCAGAGAGTGGTCTTGCTTCCCCTCCTGGGCTCTGCCCGGCCGCTTTCGGGCCGCCTTCCCCTCAGCTGCTGCCTGGCGTCGCGGCTGGCTCCCCCCCCCCCGGCTCCCGCCCCGCCGCCTCTGGGACTCTCCTGAGCGGGCCTGGCTTCCGCTCTTCCCGCCTGCGCAGGGCTTCCTTCCTCTTCCCCCGTGCACCGCGGCCCAATTTGCATCTAGCGCGCCCCACCGATGCCCGATTGCCAGAGCAGTAACCTTTGCCCAGCCGCCGACACAGCAAGTGTGTACACACACACACACATATTTATATATACACACAACACATATACATATATGCATGCATACATATATACACCTATTTATATATACGTATGTACATTTGTACACATACAAACCGACCTATACACATACAGATACATCTACACACATACATATCTATACGTATACATATACACATATTTACATATGTACGTATATACATATATACATATCTACGTATATACATATATACATATTTTCATGTACACATGTATAGATGTATACATATATACATATATACACATATACATCTATTTACATATCCATATCACATATGGTCGCCCCCCTCCAAGATCATACCTCTCTCTGCTTCTCCGTTCCGTCTCTTCATCCTTCTCTGTTCGTTCTCTTTCTCCTGTCCCTCTCCTCCTTCTCAAAACACAATTCCTCCTCTTCCTCGCCCATCATCCTTCTCCTCCTTCTCCTTTCCGTTTCTTCCTTTCTGTAGCAACGCAAAACCAAGAATACACAGTGCTTGGCGCCCTCGGAGCAAGGAGACGCTGTTTTTTGTTCCTCTGGATTCTTGATTGGAAGCTCAAGTGCTCTCCGCGGCCTCCCCCCCAGCACCTCCTCCTTCTCCCCCTTCCTCTTTCCCCGTCCTTCTCCTCCTTTCCTTTCCTCCTCCTTGTTGCAAAGCAAGAAAACCAATACTACACAGTGTTTGACGCGCATTTTTTCAATGTAATTTTAATTTTTATATATAATAGCTCAAGTGCTCCCCGCGGCCTCCCCCCAGCGCCTCCTCCTTCTCCCCCTTCCTCTTCCCCCCCTCCTTCTCCTCCTTTTATTTCCTCATCCTTCCACAGCAAGAAAACCAATAACGCCTTTGGTTCAAGGAAGCGTTTTTTTTTGGGGGGGGGGGGGGTCTCTCTCTTTCTCTCTCTCTCTCTCTCTGGTTTTTTGTCTAGGATGCGACGAAACATGTTTTTTTGGTTGTTGCTGTTTTTTTTGGTGCTGTGGAAGCTCAAGTGCTCCCCGCTGCCTCCCCCCAGCACCTCCTTCTCCTCCTTCTCTTCCGGAGCTCCAGAACCGGAAAAAAAAACAAATAGCCAAACTTAACATTGTTCCTTGCATCCTAGACCAACAATAACCAGAAACACCAAACATACACAGCGTTTCCTTGCACCAGCGGCACCAAACACTGTGTATTCTTGGTTTTCTTGCTTTGCAGCAAGGAGGAGGAAGGGAAAGGAGGAGAAGGGGGGGGGAAAGAGGAAGGGGGAGGAGGAGGAGGTGCTGGGGGGGAGGCCGCGGGGAGCACTTGAGCTTCCAAAGCCAAAAAAAAACCCAATAACCCAAAGTACGCAGTGTTTCTGTGCATCCTAGACCCGAACAACCAGAACAACCAATATTACACAGCGTTTCCTTGCTCCGAGGGCGCCTAACACTGTGTATTCTTGGTTCTGCGTTGCTACAGAGAGGAGGAAACGGAAAAGAGAATGAGGAGAAGGATGATGGGCGAGGAGGAGGAGGAATTGTGATTGGAGAAGGAGGAAAGGGAAAGGAGAAAGACAAGTAACGGAGAAGGAGGAAGAGAGGGAACGGAGAAGCAGAGAGAGGTATGATCTTGGAGGGGGCGGGGGGTAACCATACATATATACATAGAAACACATTCACAGTTATTCATACGAACATCTATATATACATAGAATCATCGATTCACATATAAACATATATACATACAGACATCTATACACACATACATTTATACATATCTACAACTATACATACATATGCACATCTACGCGTATGTATGGATATATATTTATATATATCCATATTTGATATGAATATTTACATATATGCATAGGTGTGTGTGTATGTATATATATATATATATATATATGAGTGTGTGTGTGTGTGTGTGTGTTTGTCTTTGTGTGTGTGGTCGTGTCCACCTGTGCAGGTTCAGCCTCTATCCTGTTCCCCTCGTCCTTTGCACGCCCACCCCTCCTCAGTTTCCGGGTTGCGGCCGGCCCTGTTGGGCCTTCGGGCCGGCCGCTCCCCCTTAGGCTGGTTGGCAGCCGACTTCCCGGCGACCCTCCAGGCCTGCCGGCGCTGCGACCTCCGTGGCGCAGCTTTTGCGATGTCCTCGCCGCCTTTGCTGGCCTTCTGCCCCCTTCCGCCTTGTCCTGTCCTTCTGCCAGTCGTCTGGCCGTGGCATCGCTGTAGTTCCTACTGTGCCCCATTTTCGCCCTCCTGGCATGCCGCTTCCTCGCCAGTTGGCACTGTGTATCTCGTCTGCCCCCAGTCATCCATGCCCGGATGACACGGGGCTGGCCGCGGCGCTGCTCGTTCTGAGCGGCTTGAGGGCTCGGCCGCTAGTCGCGCGCGCGCGTTCTCTTCTCCGACTCTGGACGCCTTGTCACTGTGCGCGGGGCCGCGACGCCAAAACATGTGTTTGTGTTTGTGTCTGTGTGTGTGTGCGCCGTCCACCTGGGCGCTGGCGCTGGTCGCATCGCTCGTTTCCGTCGTGCTCCTAAGCGAGCTCCTCAGCAGGTGCTTGTTTGGCGTGCGCGCCCCTTTCCTGCACGCGCAACCGTTTGGCGTTTGCCTTCCCATCGACACATGTTCGGTGGTGTTATCATTCTTTGGCGCGTCCCGCTATCAACCCTCGCTGAGTTGGACCAGCGGGCCTGGAGTTTAATCAGTATGTGTGTGTGTGTATGCAGAGTTGTCCCTCAGCGCCATCGCCATCGCTTGGGTTGGCGCCGCATTTCCGTTTGCCTCGGTGGTTTCGGTCACGTCGCATCTTGCGCGCCCTTATTCAGCCATCGTCCGACCTCCACCTCCGTCTCCCGTTGTCGTTGTCGACGCACTCCTCCTCCCCTGCTTCCCTCATCTTCCCTCCTCTTCCCTTCCCTTCCCTTCCCGTCCCGTCCCTTCCCTTCCCTTCCCTGCCCTTCCCTTCCCTCCTATTTCCTCCTTTCGCGCACCCCCTTCGCCAGAGCCCTCGCGACATCGCGCTCGGCGGCAGGCTGGAAGATCCGGGGCCTGTTCCAGCTCGGGGAGCTGACGAGCTCCCCGGAGCGCGGGGGCGAGGAAGCCCCGCGTGCCCCCTCCCGCCTGTTTGGGCTTCTGGCGGGCTGTCTCCTTCACCTCGGGCGCTCTTTCCCAGCTTCGGCGCTCTTCCTCCTTCGGCGGCGGGCGAGGGGGGGAAGTGAGAAAGAGAAGGCCTTCCCAGAAGGCGGCGGGGCTTCTCAGAAGCCCTCCATCCTTTCAGAAGTTTTCGTTGTCGTCGCGGAAAGCTGATAAAACTTCTCAGAAGGCCGGGGGACTTCCGAGCCTTCTGACAAGGCCCGCCCCTTCTCACTTCCTCCCCTCGCTCGCGGCCGACTCCCGTCAGTTGGTCTCGTGGAGGTTCAACACGTGCTTCTGCCTCGTGTGTGTTTTCGGGGGTGCAGTCGGCCCTGATCAGTAGCTCGACCCTGCCAGATCCAGGGTGCCCTTGTGTCCTGTGCCTCGCGATCCATGCCTTCTTCATGTCCCTGTGGCAATGTGGCCCTCGGAGGGGTCTCGTACCCTCTCGCGTGCCCTCTCCAATCAAGCTCGCCTGTACGGACCCCTGAGGTTTTCCCGGCCCCTAGTCGGGGCCCGCTTCGGCCGACGGGCCCAAACGGTTGTGGCGCTGGTCTGGCAGGCATGGCGTGGCTTGACCCTCGTCCCGTTCGGCGGCCAGCCCAGGGGGGCAGCGAGAGGAGGCGGGCCTTCTCAGAACCCTCGGAAGCCCCCCGGCCTTGAGAAGGAGTTGCCGAAGCCCTCCCCGAAGGCACAGAAAACCTTTCAGAAGGCCAGAGGGCTTCTGAGAAGCCCCGCCGCCTTCTGAGGTGAGCGTTTTTTTTTTTTTTTTTTTTTTTTTTTTTTTTTTCCCGGAAAGGGCGCGGGCCCAGGGTTCTCTTTTAGCCGTTTACCCCCGGATCTGACGGGTCAAGCGCCGGCGAAATTATTTGCGATAAATAACGAGGTAAAGTGCTGATTTTTTTAGAAAAAGTGCGTTTTGTGCGTGCCCGCTCGAGGAAAGTTCGCCCCCCATCTCGGATCCTCGATAAATAACGGGGTCCGCAGACCCCCGCTTTCCCTCGTAAAAAAGAGGGTGCGGAGCGTTTTTCGCAGAATCCTCGAAAAATAACGGGGTCTGGAGCCCCGACCGCGACTCGGAAAAGCGCCCCGCGCGCAGGAATTCCGAGGATGTCTCGCGCGTGCCGCGTCCCGCGCGCAGGAATTTCGAGGATGTCTCGACTAATTCGCTTGTTTTGTCAGGATTTCTTAGAACTTTGGCAGGATGTCTCGAGCGAAACGCTTATTTTACATAGTTTGTGGAGGATGTCTCGAGCGAAACGCTGGTTTCCGCAAAATTTGGAGATGTCTCGAGCGGGGGGCCAGAATTCAGAGGATGTCTCAGGCGAAATGCTTGTTTTCGTGTCCCGCTCGCGGGAATTCCAAGGATGTCTCGCGCGGGCCGCGTCCCGCGCGCAGGAATTTCGAGGATGTCTCGACTAATTCGTTTGTTTTGTCAGGATTTCTTAGAATTTTGACCGGATGTCTCGAGCGAAACGCTTGTTTTTCATAATTTGTTGAGGATGTCTCGAGCGAAACGCTGGTTTCTGCAAACTTGGGGATGTCTCGAGCGGGGGCCTCGTGGGGGGCCAGAATTCAGAGGATGTCTCAGGCGAAATGCTTGTTTTCACGTCCCGCTCGCAGGAATTCGGAAGATGTCTCGCGCGTGCCACGTCCCGCGCGCAGGAATTTTGAGGATGTCCCGTAGCGCGTCCCCTTGGCACGGCCTACGGTGCGACCCCATGGCACGTCCCTTGGCACGTCGCCTGGCGCGTCCCTGGGGACGTTTCGCGGCGCGTCCTCCTGGCATGTTCGTGAGGTGTCTCGTGGAATGTTTCGTCGGATGTCTCGTGGAATGTGCCGTGGGGTGTCTCGTGGAATGTTTCGTGAGGTGTCTCGTGGAATGTTTCGTGGGGTGTCTCGTGGAATGTTCCGTGGGGTGTCTCGTGGAATGTTTCGTGAGGTGTCTCGTGGAATGTTTCGCGCCCAGGTGGGTATCGTGAAAACGTGTCCATGCTTCACATGTCATATCCCTTTCCGGGTTCGTGGGTCCATCATGTTTTGTTTTCCCGGAAAGGGCCTGAGCCCAGGGTTCTCTTTCAGGTGGTTTCCCCCCGGTTTTGACGGCTGTAGGGCCGGCGAATTTCTTTTGCGATAAATAACGAGGTCGCGTAGGGCCGGCGAATTAAAAATTGAGGATGTCCCTAGCGAAACGCTTGTTTTTCAGAATTTGTTGAGGATGTCTCGAGCGGAACGCTGGTTTTGCAGAGTTGGGGATGTCTCGAGCGAAACGCTTGTTTTCAGAATTTGTTGAGGATGTCTCGAGCGAAACGCTGGTTTTGCAGAGCCGACCGCGACACGGAAAAGCGCCCCGCGCGCAGGAATTCCGATGATGTCTAGCGCGTGCCGCGTCCCGCGCGCAGGAATTTCGAGGATGTCTCGACTAATTCGTTTGTTTTGCTAGGATTTCCTTGAATTTTGGCAGGATGCCTCGAGCGAAATGCTTGTCTTTCATAATTTGTTGAAGACGTTTCGAGCGAAACGCTGGTTTTGCAAAATTGGGGGATGTCTCGAGCAGGGGCCTCGTGGGGGGCCTCGTGGGGGTCCAGAATTCAGAGGGTGTCTCAGGCGAAATGCTTGTTTTCACGTCCCGCTCGCAAGAATTCCGAGGATGTCTCGCGCGTGCCGCGTCCCGCGCGCAGGAATTCTGAGGATGTTGGCAGGATGTCTCGAGCGAAACGCTTGTCCCCAGCACGCTCCGTAGCGCGTCCCCTTGGCACGTCCCGCGGTGCGTCCCCATGGCACGTCCCTTGGCACGTCGCTTGGCGGGTCCCTTGAGACGTTCCGCGTCGCGTCCTCCTGGCATGCCCCCCTGTCCATTAGTTCTGGGGCAGCTACTATGTGTTCAGGCAGCTCGAGCTTAAGATCCAGATCAGTTCGGTCAGGACTCGGATGCAAAGGATGACTCGATCCACGAGGCTATAGAGCACAATCGCAGCATGGCACATCGCAATTCAGCACGGCGCAGCACAGCACAGATTTCGGCACGGTACATCAAGATCGATACACTCAGCATTGCAACTTGGCACGTTCCGTGGCACGTTCCGTGGCGCGTCCCTTGGCGAGTCTCCCTGGCATGTCGCGTGGCGCGTCCCCTGGCACATCCCGTGGCACATCCATTGGCACGTTCCGTAGCGCGTCCCTTTGGCACGTCCCGCGGTGCGACCCCATGGCATGTCCCCTGGCACGTCGCCTGGCGCATCCCTTGGGACGTTTCGCGGCGCGTCCTCCTGACATGCTCACCTGTCCATCAGCTCTGGGGCAGCTACTATGTGTTCAGGCAGCTCGAGCTTAAGATCGAGATCAGTTCGGTCAGGACTCGGATGCAAAGGAGGACTCGATCCATGACGCTATAGAGCACAATCGCGGCATGGCACATCGCAATTCAGCACGGTGCAGCACAGCACAGCCCTCGGCAGGGTACATCGAGATCGATACATTCAGCATTGCACTTGCCCGTCACCCAATCAGGTGTCTTTGAAAACGCTGCCATGAGTTACAGTTCTATATTCCTTTCCGGGTTCGTGGGTCGATCATGTTTTTTCCCGGAAAGGGCGCGGGCCCAGGGTTCTCTTTTAGTAGGTTAACCCCCCGGCCCCCCTGCGACTTGGGCCGGCGAAATTATTTTGCGAGCGGGCACGCACGGAGTAGGGCCGGCGAAATTATTTTTGAGGATGTCTCGAGCGAAACGCTTGTTTTTCAGAATTTGTTGAGGATGTCTCGAGCGAAACGCTGGTTTTGCAGAGTTGGGGATGTCTCGAGCGAAACGCTTGGTTTCAGAATTTGTTGAGGATGTCTCGAGCGAAACGCTGGTTTTGCAGAGCCGACCGCGACACGGAAAAGCGCTCCTCGCGCAGGAATTCCGAGGATGTCTCGCGCGTGCCGCGTCCCGCACGCAGGAATTTTGATTTCTTTGGGTTTTGACAGGATTTCTCAAGCGAAACGTTGTTTTTCATAATTTGTTGAGGATGTCTCGAGCGAAACGCTGGTTTTGCAAAATTGGGGGATGTCTCGAGCGGGGGCCTCGTGGGGGGCCAGAATTCAGAGGATATCTCAGGCGCAATGTTTGTTTTCGTGTCCCGCTCGCAGGAATTCCGAGGATGTCTCGCGCGTGCCGCGTCCCGCGCGTAGGAATTCGGATGATTGTGATAGGATGTCTCGAGCGAAACGCTTGTCCCCAGCACGTTCAGTAGCGCGTCCCCTTGGCACGTCCCGCGTTGCGACCCCATGGCACGTCCCCTGGCACGTCGCCTGGCGCATCCCTTGGGACGTTTCGCGGCGCGTCCTCCTGGCATGTTCCCCTTGTCAATTAGCTCTGGGGCAGCTACTATGTGTTCAGGCAGCTCGAGCTTAAGATCCAGATCAGTTCGGTCAGGACTCGGATGCAAAGGAGGACTCGATCCACGACGCTATAGAGCACAATCGCGGCATGGCACATCGCAATTCAGCACGGCGCAGCACAGCACAGCCCTTGGCAGGGTACATCAAGATCGATACACTCAGCATTGCAACTTTTCCTTGGCACGTTCCGTGGGGCGTCCCTTGGCGAGTCCCCTGGCACGTCGCGTGGCGCGTCCCCTGGCACATTCCGTGGCACATCCATTGGCACGTTCCGTAGCGCGTCCTTTGGCACGTCCTACGGTGCGACCCCATGGCGCGTCCCCTGGCACGTCGCCTGGCGCATCCCTTGGGACGTTTCGCGGCGCGTCCTCCTGGCATGTTCCCCCTGTCCATTAGCTCTGGGGCAGCTACTATGTGTTCAGGCAGCTCGAGCTTAAGATCCAGATCAGTTCGGTCAGGACTGGATGCAAAGGAGGACTCGATCCACGACGCGCTATAGAGCGCAGTCGCGCCATGGCACATCGCAATTCAGCACGGCGCAGCACAGCACAGCCCTTGGCAGGGTACATCAAGATCGATACACT